CTTACCAACGACACCCCTTCGCCAGCAACTGCACAATTGGAGAACCAGACATCAGACTATCTTCAAGAATTGGAAGATTTACGCCTACAATTAGTGGCAATCAATCAACAAAGGCTGCCACACCATCTCAACACAGTGCAGCATCATCAAATCGCTACTTATGCTGCCCTAGCAATATCAATGCTATTGATTATTGCGTTCATTCTCCGGAAGAAGTATCAATCATGGAACCCAAGGCCGTCAACAATCAACCAAGCAGAGCCACGCGGATCATCACCCCCGATCCCCATTCCACGCCGCTTTTCAGTCGACTTGGTCGACCCATGTACAGGGAGACATAATAACAAACGTCAAGGCATTGTAGCTGAGTCAACAATAACCGCTTCTGCAGCAATTTCTGCCAACGATGCGATCGCTCGTCAGAGGGCAAAAACACTGGTGCAATTGCTGACTATCACAATTGCCCAATAACACAATATCATATTAAATCCAAATTAATTCAATATTTATTCCAATTCCCTTTTACCATATTCTTACTAGACTCAGCACTTTCTGTACCTTTTGTTACCTATAAATAGAAATTAAGTTTGTTGAATAAAATCAGTATCAGAAACAGTACCATCACTGCCTGTTCACTCATTCTCTACAACTGCAATCAACAGAGGCTGTCGCCGTGTCTTCAGACCCTCATTTGCTCGACGTAGGAAACCCTCTCCGCAGTCCAACTGGTTCAAGTTCTAGTTGCGACGACAAATTTGTAGACGGTTTATGTACCGTATGCATACCAAAACACACACACAATCACACATTAACAAATCATATTAGTGTGTGTATATAATTATAATTATAATTATAATTATAATTATATATAATATATAATTAAACCGCTTGTGAGGAACCAAGGTTCGTTACAAGGCTTCCAAGGTAACTTGCAGACGGATGTCATTTACACTGATTTCAGTAAAGCATTCGATTCTGTAAACCATTCTCTTCTAGCACAAAAACTTGACCTTTTAGGGTTTCCGCCTAATCTTTTGAGATGGATTTCTAGCTACCTTCGTTCTAGGTCTCAAAGAGTCCACTTCAAAAACTCCTTCTCTTCACCTGTTAAGATTACTTCTGGAGTACCACAGGGCAGCCATCTAGGCCCCCTACTGTTCACACTCTTTATTAATGACCTGCCTTTAGTATTGACAAATTCTTGAATACTCATGTGTGCGGATGATGTGAAACTCGGCGTCCAGTATAAGGACATTTCATTTCACTCTCACTTGCAATCCGATCTCAATAACTTTCAATCATGGTGTTGTGCAAATATGTTACACCTAAATGCCTCGAAATGCAAAGTAATGCCATTTCATCGCTCCAGCCCCCTTTTGGCTCCTTATAGCCTCTGCGGTGGTTCTCTTGAGAGAATTACGTTGGATGATGATCTTGGTGTTAAATTAGACCCAAAGTTAAAGTTTTCTGAACACATTTCTACCATGGTAAATTAGGCCATGGGTGTGCTTGGGTTTATAAAGAGGTGGTCAAAGGAATTTGACGACCCCTATATAACGAAGACTCTCTACATCTCGCTTGTTCGTCCGATTTTAGAGTATGTGTATGGTGCCCCCAGTACAAAGTACACCAGGAACGTATAGAATCAGTCCAGAAAACTTTTTGCTCTGCGTGGCCTTAACTGGGATGCAGGTGTGAGACTGCCATCTTATCCTCGTAGATTTCTTTTAATAAACCTTCCAACCTTAGTTAGTCGTAGAAAAATGCTTGGTGTGATTTTTATGCACAACCTGATCAAGGGTGACGTAGATAGCCCTGACTTGTTGAGCCGCATAAACTTTACGATTCGTATTAGATCTACTAGAAACTTCATTCCTTTGTTCCTTCCGCTTTGTAGATCGAATTATTCCTTGCACGAACCATTTAGGGTACTTTGCTCGGACTTCAATTCCCTCTACCACATAATATCAACTACTAATTCCCTTCCTCTTCTTAAATCACTAATACTAACATACCTTTCCCGTAATTAGTTATATTTTTTAGCTATCTTTGCATGCTTTGCTCTTTGAGTTGTGTTTAGCTCTAATTTTCCTCGAATTTTAGTCTAACACCTATCTTTCCTGCATGCTCGCGATCGGTTCGGTAACACGCGTCGCGCGTCATGCGGCAGCGCCCCTCGGTCGGTTGGGCGGGAGGAGGGCTGCGTTTCTGCCTGGGTTCCGCGCGTAACAGGCTTCGCCTTGGTGTCGCATGGGCCACTTGATGGTGCAGTCATTGCATATCAACGTCCAGATATGTCCGACCTGGGCATGCATTTGTTTTGTGGCTGGTTTTGAAATAGTTGACAGACAATTTCTGCTTTTGTACCCAATTTAGTCGTTCTGATGGTGATTTGGAGCGAAACTCATTGCATCCGTAGAGCCAATGGCTTGCCTTCTGCAGAATGAGCAGAGAGGCGTCGATTTTCCATTGTTTACTGTTGCACATGTTGTGCCTTTTGGCTCTTTCCTTGACATTTGTGTCTTTTTGCCTGTTCCTAGAACTCGAACTCTTTGTTATAGGAACTGAAGCATTGTGTCCAAGGCCTGTATTTCCTTTGAGCTTCCCAATGATTGCTCGTACAAGGCTCTGTTAGTGACATCCAGCTTATTTTTGATGACGGCAATCAATATTGGATCCCAGGTGGATATATTGATGCCCAATCCCTTTAGTGATGCCAAGGATTCGATAGTTGTAACGTACAACTCTTTTAATGACTTGGAGTCGTCATTAACTGTGTTATAATTTAGGAAGCGGTTCAATACCGTGCTAGCAACGTCTCTGGGATTGTTGTATGTATCAATCAGAATTTACCAGGCGCTTACATAATTTTCTTCCTTTAGATCGATATGTTGGATCAATCTTTCTGCCTCTCCAGTTACGGTTGTTTTTAGATAAAACATCTTCCGTAATGTGGGCAGGTTTGTTTCATGTATCATACATGAGAACAGGTCATAGAACTGGGACCATTTTAGTATGTCCCCATCAAACTTGGGAATGTTGATGCGTGGAAGCTTGTAAGGATGTTGTTCGGCTAAGCGCCGGCCCATGGCAGCACAATGAGCAATGAGACCATATGTAACATCTCTTAAATGTAACGTCTCTCTTTATTACCGTTTTGTTTGCTTTGCTTATGCTCTATCTGGTGCTTTGCTCTCTGTCGGCGTTCGACAGCCGCTGTGGGGAGGCTCGTCAGAGAAAGCAGAAGACACTTCAGATTCGATCATCACCGTAGTTAAACGTTTTGCTGTCTGGCACAGTGACCTGCCTGCCACAGAGTTCTAAACTAAACCTTACATAAACCCAACAACTTCAACAGTCTTGAACCGGACCCGCGTCTTCAATCGACCCATCGTTAACTCTAGTTATCAAATCCGCACACCTTTCGCTAGTTGTGGATAAAACATATATATAAACTTAAGTACAATAAACTGTGAATATATTAACTGAACAATCGTCGTCTCTTAAATAATCTGGCAAAACAACGCTACTGAAAAAGCTCAGTAGCTCAACAGATGTTTTCTCAGGCCGGGGTACAGCCTCTCAGTCTGCCCAGGGCCCGATCCTTATACAGCCTATTTGTATTTTTGGGACCTAGAGATTGGAATGAGTGGCGAGGGAAAAGTGCGGCGCTCCGCGCGTGGGATCGGAACGGGGCCTTTACAGCCAGGCACGGGAAGGGAATGCTCGGGGGAATGGGGAATCCAGTTTCGGGGGTGCAGTGCGTGCCCGCGTACACACCGTTCAACTGGTCCTCCGGGGGGGAAAAGGCGAGGTTTTCTACGGGGAAGGTGCTACGGGAAGGGGGAAGGGCGGACCACAGTCACCGTGCGTTGACCGCGTACCGATGCTATGGCCCGTCTCCCCAAGGATAGTGGTGGAGAGATGGAAGGGTACAGTTTGGTGGCAGCCGATACAATAACCAAGAGCGTTTTATATATATTCTTTATTATATCCGTGGTTGGGTCCCTACCTATCGCACCGTCTCTTTCTCTCCCTACACACCCACGTAAGTGAGCCGGCTTACCCGTCCTCTTTTCGCCTGGTTTGGTGTTATTTCGCTGATTCTCGGTGGCCTCCGTGTTGTGGAAATCTTCAGCGGGCAGGATTCCGTCGGTGTCGTTGGCTGGGTCCTGTGTTGTTGTCGTTGTTGCCAATCCTGGGGGCGGGGGTCACGGCGATCGCACTAGGTCTGGACTCTGCTCTGGAACTGAACTGCTCGCCTCTGACACCATTTATCGACTCCTGGCTCGCATCTTTTTTGACGCGTGCCAAGCCGCTTGATCCGGCCTCTGCCGGTAATTCTGCCCGGCCCTCGGCAACTTTGTAGCTTAGCTGCCGAACGCTGAGCCGATCGTCGATTATCTCTTGCGTTGCGGCGCTGCTCCTCTCTCGGCTGCTGTGGGCTGGCTTGGGGTGGTTTTCGGCTTTGCGCTAGAATTGCGTCGTTGGCTCTGCCCCTCATATTTCTGACGCGTGACAGTTATGCTTGGCTAGGGCTCGCTTCTCCCGACGGCCAGCTCCGTTCTCTTTTCTTAGGCCCGCCTGGTTCTAAGCGTATCCTCCCTTTCGTTCGCTCGGTGTTTCTCTTTCGTGTTCTTGGTACTGGTTCTTGGTTCCTACTGCTGGTTCCTGGTTCTGGGTGCTGGTTCTTGGTTCTTAGTGATGGTACCTGACTGCTCCCCAGAAGTCATCGGTCCCACTAACCAACGTTTAGTTTAGTTTACTTATTATATATTTCGGTTAATAATAGATGGTACTTATGCTAGGAAAGAAATAGTGGGTAATGAATAATATAAAAAAAATATAAGAAATAATAACAAAAAAACAAATTTCTTGGCAGTTTCGTTTGCCGGCGCTGGCTCCTAATTCCCCTGCCCTGTCGTTGTGTAGGAGTCTACTCCTTCACACTCCCTTCTTATTTCGGGGGGCGGGACGAAATAAAAATCTCTTTCCGCTGGTTAATGGATATGCGGAAACGTTGTCCCGCAAAGTTCTCCAGCGTTCGGGACCGTGGCCCGACCCGGCCGTGTCGTTGGATTACGCTGTCTATGAGACTTCGCGGCAATCGACTCCACTCCACCCCACTCCACTGGGGTCTCCACTCGCCATCCCTCTGGTGCCACCGTCCAATCCTGCTCCGCTTGAACCGCATCGAGTGTGGGGAGTTCCTCGTACGCGGCCATTAGGCCGTCCGCTATTTCCTCGTCCAACTCCAGTGACGTGTCCCCCTCGTCTGCCGACGCGCTAAGGCCTGGGGCGTCGGTCTCCTCGGTCTCGTCATCGCTGATGATGACGGGCTCCGTTGACGGGGCTCTGGTGGGCTCTTCGGGGGCCTCAGGCTCCGGTGTCGGCGTGTCCCATCGCCGTCGATCTCCTCGAGGCTCGGGGGATGCCGTGCCTGACCGAGGCTCGCTGCTCAGCGGTTCTGGTGACTGCCCTCCCGTTGGGGAGTAGGAAGGTGTCCGTGGCTCGTAGCTCGCCTGGGACGATGAGTCGCCCTCGCTGACTCCGGATTCCCGTTCCTCCGACTGGCTGCTCATAACCTCCGGCTCCTCGCTGTCGTCCTCCGACCGTTCCGCCTCGCTGCTCAGCACTTCTGGCTCCTCTTCGCTGTCGTCCTCCGACCCTTCCGCCTCGCTGCTGGTGTCATGTTCGCCGCCCGCTTCGGCCCGTTCGCGGTTGCGCGCGTCCTGTATGGCCTGGAAAGCTTGGACGGCCTTCATCCAAGGAGTCCCTGGAGCTTCGGCCGTGTTCTGAGGCGCAGTCTGTGGTGGGTCGGAGTTGCTGCTGTTGATGGCCAGGCTGAGCTCTGGGAGGAGGTCGTCCCATGTCCGCTGGTCCCCGTCGATGTATTGGGCGATCATGGTTTTGATTGTCCTATTGGCCCGCTCGGTTGGGTTTTGCTGAGGTGTGTATGGAGCCGTATGATCCAATTCCATGCCGGCGAGTTTACAGAAATCCCTCAAGGAGCGGCTGGTGAATTGTGTCCCGTTGTCGCAGACGAACCTTCTGGGGACTCCGAAGCGACTCAGGATTCGTTCCCGGAACGCCTTTTCCAGCTGTGCCGTGGTGGCTTTGCGCAGGGGCACCAGTTCCACCCATTTGTTGAACGCGTCGAAGAATACTAGCAACATCGTGTTGCCGTGCTTCGAACGGGGAAGTGGGCCGACGAAGTCCGCGCATAAGATATCCAGTGGTCCCTGGGCCTGTCGGGTATGCATATGCCTGGCTGGTTTTTGTTGGCTCACCTTGAATTGCTGGCAGCTGGCACATCTTTGGACATATCGGGCTACATCTCGATAGAGTCCAGGCCAGTAATACCGTTGGGTCACTCGGTTCGCAGTCTTCCGAATTCCCAGGTGTCCTGCTGTCGGGTGGTCGTGGCACTCCTCTAACACGCGTCGGCGGTGATCCTTGGCGACGCATAGTTTCCACTGAATCGCGTCCTCCTCGATTGATCGGTTGCTCGCTTGTTTGTACAGTTGGTTATTTTCCATTATGAATTCGGGGTGCTTTTCGGGCTGTTCGTGGATCCGTTTGTATAGTCTTTGCAGCCAGGGGCAGGTGTTTTTTTCCTCTTACGTGCGCTGCAAAGTTTCCAAGGGTTGTCGCGAGAGTGCATCGGCCACGATGTTCTGACTTCCACGACGGTAGTGTATGTCAAACCGGTATTGTTAGAGCTCCAATGCCCAGCGAGCGATCCCACCAGTCGGGTTGTCGATCGAGTTCAACCATTTCAGCGCGAGATGGTCCGTGATCACGGCGAAATGGTAGCCTTCCAAAAAGCACCGTAGCTTCCGAATTGCCCAAACGATAGCGAGACACTCTTTTTCGGTGGCCGAGTAGTTCTCTTCGGCCAGGAGTAGTCGGCGGCTGGCGTACGCGATGACACGTTCCTCTCCTGCTATTTGCTGCGTCAGCACGGCTCCGAGGCCGTATGCACTGGCGTCCGTTTGGAGTACGAACCTCTCGGTGAAATCAGGGCACGCCAAAACTGGAGCCTGAGTTAATTTCTCCTTGAGTGCTTCGAACGCCTGTTGCTGGTCCAGGCCCACTTTTGGTTCTTCTTGTCGGGTGTGCCTCGACATCGGCTGGACCATCGTAGCGAAGTTGGGGACAAAGCGGCGATACCACGATGCCATCCCGATGCAACGTCGTAGCTCCTTTAGGTTGCTGGGTGGTGCCAGTTTCCTGACGGCGATGACCTTGTCTGGATCCGTGTGTATTCCTTGCTCACTGATGACGTGTCCGAGGTAGACCAGGCTTTTCCTAAAGAAACTGCACTTTTTTCTATTCAGCCGTAGGTTGGCTTCTCGCAATCTCCTGAAGACTTCTCGAAGGTTCTCGACGTGTTCCTCTAGCGTGGCTCCGATGATGATGATGTCGTCCAAATGACGCTATCTAGCGCTCGTTGAAAAGTCGCTGGCGCTGAGTGCAGGCCGAAAGGCATGACTTTGCAATGGAACAGTCCTCTGCCCGGGACGGTGAACGCTGTCGCCTCTCTGCTATCCTTAACGAAGTAACGCTGCTTCACAGGTTTGTTATCCCTCATGGTGATGGTGTGCTCTGCGATGTGGGAGATTCCGCTTAGTCCCTCAAATTTGGCCAATTCTTCCTCCAGAAATTTGGCTGCCCAGGGCGTGGGAGGTCGTTCCGGGTCTTGGTCTGGTTGCCAAGGAGAGAGGTCCTCCAATTCCATGGCGGTGGCGGCCGCCAAAACCTCTCTGTCGTAGTCCTTGTCAGCTGTACGAAACGGGTTCCGTTCTCGAGCTGATCTAGAGTCGGCCCGTGGTTCCAGCTGGTAGTCCGTCGTCCTTTTCTGGCTGGAGTCGACCCGTGGTGTCGGGGTGCTGCATTCACTTACTGGGTTGCTTGGTCTGATGACCCCTCGCTTGTTAGTCGCGGCTCGATATAATTTCAGACATGGGGCCGCGTTCTTTCGTTCCAGGTGAGTCGTAGCTGTTGTTCCCGTTGTACTTGAAGGCGACTCTCGGTTCGTCTGGCTGGCCCTGGATTGGTCCAGCGTAGCCACAGCCATCTGGTCCGAAGTCACTTGGTCCTGGCGATGCTTTGAAGGCGACTCTCGGTTCGTCTGACTGGCACTGGGTTTATCCAGCGGAGCCACAGGCATCTGGGCCGAAGTTCCTTGGTCCTGGCGATGCTTTGAAGGCGACTCTCGGTTCGTCTGGCTGGCCCTGGATTGATCCAGCGGAGCCACTGCCATCTGGGCCGAAGTCCCTTGGTCCTGGTGATGCTTTGAAGGCGTGCTACGAATGAGGGAACTGGCCATGGTTGGACCCATCGGTGTCGCAGCTTTCCTTGTCGTAATCGGGCTTGGGTCCGGTTTGGGTGTCGAATCTGTTGTCCTGCTTTGGTTGTCGTGTCCCGCTTGGCTATGGCTGTTCATTTGGTTGGTGCCCAGTGTTGTGGGCAAGGGCGTTTGAGTGGTGGTCAGGCTGTCGTTCATGACTATTGGGTCGGCAAACATCACCGTTCTTGGACCCAGTGACGCCGTGATTTCTGGTGTGTTCTCAGGAGGGTGTTGTCGCCGCTTGAGTTGCAGATAAGCTCGTCCACAGTGGATCCTTGCACGGATACCACACAGAAAGTCAAGCCCCAGAATGATGTCATCCAGTACTGTGGGTAACACTAAGAGAGATACCTGTGTTTCCTGCTGGTCGAGGCGCACCGTCGCTGCTACTGCGTGTGTGATCTCCTTCCTTGAGTGGTCGGCTAGGCTGATCCTGGTTCTCACTGCTCGTTGATTTTCTGCCGTTCCTATCTCGTCCGCAATCCGCTGGCTAATGAAAGACCGGGTGGCCCCTGTGTCGAGTGTGGCTGAGCAAGCCCTTCCGTTGATGGTCACCAGAGCCACGATCCTCCCTCCTGCCATGCTTAGTGGGTGGATGTCCCCGGATCATGGGTGTGCGTCTCCGCCCGTGTCCCAGTGGGACGGAGACCCGACTCGTTTCCCGACTCGAGCTTTCGGCAGCAATTGATAGACCTGATTCGTTGGCGGCCGCACTCCCAACAGCTTCTGTTGATTGTTGCAGTCGCTACGAAAATGTCCATCTTCTCCGCACTTCCGGCAGGCCCGTCGCACGTCGACCGGTCCCTCCTCATCCTGTCGTTTCCCTAGATGGGCGGCATCTGACCTTCCGGATGCCTCGTGGTTTGCACCCCGTTAGTTTGTGGCCCCTTGGCCTCCGTGTGAGGCCCGCTGTAGGTACGTCGGTGTAGATACGCTGGTGCGTGATGGGCCGCGGTCCCTGGCGGTCTCATATGCCGAGATGAGCTGAGTTAATTCCGTCAGCGAGTGGAAGTCTTGCCTGCGAGTATACATTTGATACTCTGGTCGGAGATTCTCGTAAATCCGGTCCAATTCTTGTTCTCGAGTGTACTGAGCCCGCTGCATCATCAGTCGTAGCTCGATCAGGTTGTCCCGGAAGGACTCCTTGGGCCTCTGTTCCCGGCTTCGGATGGTGTCCTCTAAGCGTTGGAAGTATCGGGGCGGCAAGAAAAACTCCAAGAACTCCTTCCGGAAAACTGTCCAGTTCTGGCCTTGCATCTGAATGGTTCGAAACCACCCCTCGGTGGTCTTACCGGCCTTACCGGATACGGCTCGTGGCAGTTGCTCCGGGCTTCCTCCGTACGACTCGACCCGCTCCTCTAGTCGTTCGATGAATGCCAGAGGGTCCGTATGGCCATTGAACGTGAGCCCCCATTTCCTGAGCTTGTCTGCCAGCAGGGAAGACGAGACCTCGCCTCCTGAGTGGGGGGAACGTTGTCCCTGAGACAGACCAGGTTGGTAGTGGCTGTCGACGATTGCTGGCTGACTCCCGGTGGGGCGTGGCCCGGTGGTGCTAGGTCCTGGCCTTCGAGGCATACTGCATGGTTCAACCACGGCCATTTGGGGTGGCTCCTGTCGGTTGGGCTGCTGGTGGTTACCCTGGCCAGCCTGTGGCTCAGCGGTCGTGTCACGGGGTCCAGCGGCACTGATCCGCAATCCTTGGCTCGTGCTGGGCAACTCGGGGAGTACCCATTGTGGCAGTTCCAGAATTGGGCCTTGCTGGAGGTTTCCGTCGGTGGGCGGTGGCTCGGAGGCCTCCGTTCCTTGTCCTGGGGGTGTCCTGAGGGGCATGGAGCGACCTGGAGATTTGGGCCCGGCCTGTCGTCTCGTGTTGGCTGGTTCAGGGATCACCAATACGAGCTGCTTCCTATCCCTGCCTCCTTCCTCCTTTGCTCGCGTCTCTGGTCCTGGAGACGTTGCGGGGCTTCGTGGGTCCCTGGGACTGGGGATATTGCCGAAGTGGGTGAAAATCCGGAATGGTTTTCCCGGAACGATGATGTGTGATGACACCGGTCCAGCAGCTCTAGATGGGTTTTTCCTACAACGGTGGTATACGATGTCAGCGAAGATGCAACCAAAACGCAGCCGTTCAATTTAAATTCATTTAATGCACTGGTCGCAGCCAGCGATGCTAACGTTCGCCCACTCCAGAAGGGAGCCGATCGAACATGCTGGGAGATGGCGTAACAGCGACTGAGCGTAACAATTCATTAACTCTTATACTATGCTATTCTATGCTAAGTTATGATATTTTGCTGCTGCTGCTTCAACATTCCGGCCCCGTTGAAGGCCTCCGGCGCTTCAACCATCCATTGGCAATTTTGCCAGTTTTTGGACTGCTCGTTTAATAACGCCTGCGGAAGTTCGCACCTCTGCCACGCGCACTCTCCCATCTTCTCCTGCCGTCGTTGCCACCACTCGCCCTGTGGTCCACTTCTGAGGCGGTGTGTTGTCCTCGTGAACGAGCACTAGGCATCCTGCCTCGAGGTTCGGTCCTTCTGTAGACCATTGCTGCCGCTGCTGCAGGCTGGCCAGGTAGTCCTTGGACCAGCCCTGCCAAAACTGCTGTTTGAGCGCGGACAGCATGCGCCACCGCTTCAAATACTCGAAGCCGCCCTTGATGCAATTGGCGTCTTGCTCGGATTCGGACGGCAGCGAAAGAAGCGGCTGCCCGATGAGCAGGTGCCCTGGCGTTAGAGCTTCTCCATCGCTGGGGTCGTTGCCTGGGGAAGCGATTGGCCGGGAGTTGAGGATGGCCTGTGGAGTGAGGAGGAAGTGCGGTGC